AACACGATTTTGCACAAATCACGAAATGGTTTGAAGCGCAAAAATAATCGGTGTGCATCTTAGCCTGCGTACTGGACAACACGATTCTGTGATTAATAACGCCCCACCTTACTTCCGTGAAAAGTTATTGAAGCTAGAAAACTGAATATCGAATATGAGGCTAACTTAACCGCGGTATGGGTGACCCGCAAATTTTGATGAAACGGGTGAAAAATATTCTACTGTGTCGGATACGAGTTCGGGTCGGACGCAGGAGAGCGCGGGTCTAAATTGCGGTTTTCAAAACATCATGTGCCAACAAAAAATACCCTAGGGCTATATTTTAGTGACACACAAAAAATTGAAGATAAAACGTAAAATCCATATCAGTTTATGCCTGCACGCGCACTGCTGGAAATCTCTCCCACTTTCATTTTCAAAAAACGCTCGTTTTGCTTATTATTAGGCTGTTATTAAGCAACATTTACATTTGGTTATGCCTTGTCGTTTGTTGTGGCAATAAACTTTTGTCTTTAATTTTGCCTATCTGACTGATTTTCATTCAGGTGCGGGTCAAGTGTCGGTATTTATTTATAGCGGGTCGGATTGGGTGCGGAATTTTATTTTATTTCTGTCGGATAACGATTCGGATACGGGTTTAAGTATGACGGGTACGGGCGGGTACGGTTTGTCAAAATCAGACCCGTGCAGGTCTCTGCTGCTAGGTGCAGCAATAATCATATAAATAATTTAATATAAATCATATAAATAAATTATTATTTGACGTGACTTGATTACGTCATTGACAACCACCACACACACTCATTCTCTAATACACTTAAACACACACACTCTCACTCACATTCACTTACACACACATGAACATGCACACACCATTCCTACCTCATCTAGGAGATACAATCCTGTCAGAATTTTTTTTATGCCTCCTATAAATGTACAAGAATACAGAAAAAGTAAAGGCCATCTTAATTTATGCCTTAGTTTAAGATATATGTATAGCTTTTTTCAGTAATGTTATTTGACATTATTTTATTTTTGCATTTAAGAAAGTTTTTTCTTTAAAAAGAAAAAAACAAAACAAATATGTACATAAATGCACTAAAAGGGTTTAGTACTTTTGTCAGTTGTTGTATGGAGTTAAAATCATCATTAAAAATGTTCCTAAAAAGGAAACCCATGAGTTGTTCACTTTAAGAGACCTGTCTATTTTTTCTTTTTTGAATAGTTACTATTGCTCTTTAATAAGACAAAAGTATTTCTTATCCGATTACTCGATTAATCGATGGAATAATCGGTAGAATACTCGATTACTAAAATAATCGATAGTTGCAGCCCTAATCATAAGCCATATGGACGGCGGTTTTTTGACACATGCACCATCTAAACCAGAGTGCCGGGATCCCGCAGCGCCAGCCAGCACGTTCGGATGAAATTTCACTCTCAGCTCCTGCAGGAGGGAGGCGGCCCAGACCAGCAGAGACGGGGAATCTCCACTCAGAATGAGAACAATCGATAAGCTTATGGCCCATTCCATTCTCACCCCCGATGAGGCATCTTCTGCCCCATTGTCCTCAAACCCCTCCCGGAATGATTCCATCAGTAGGGGTATTTAATCAATCAATGGGGCCAAGGCAGGTATTGTCAGCACGTTACATGATAATTAACCGTAATAGATTTGCATCTCTTCTCACTTGGTTGTTTGTTATTAGACTGTGAGGCTGCCATGAATCTTCCCTCACCTTCAGCTCTTATGAGCGCCCAGTAGCTCACAAAGTATCTCCTGCAAAGGACTTTGATTATTACAAATGACTTTTTTATCACCGGTGCTTGAAAGTAGAGAGCCTCTAGTAGATGGTGTTTACACGGCGCTCTGTCGGGAGGGAGGGGGGGGGGGGGGGTTACAAGGCAGCATAGATTGTGCCAAACTCCACAGCTCAACATGTGAGTCATGCAGGAAAGGAGCAATTATCAGGAAGATAGAGAACAGCAGAGAGGGCAGTCAATCCCTCTTCTGATCTGCACTCACAGTAGCTACAGAAATGTCAGTCCTCATAATCAGAAACATTCTCTTTTCAGACTTCAGACGAGTGTTGGAATATAATTCAATCCAGATTGTAGTTTGGCTCATTAAGCGCCATATCCGTTAATAAAGCCTTGGGTCCCTCGTAACGCAGAACAGCCAGCGTCTCTTCCAGAGAAAGCACATAATAAAAATACGGCGGGCTAATTACCGCCCAGCCTCGCAAGCGGGCCACAAAAACAGCCGTTTCTGCTTCCCTGGACAATCACAGGCCAGGCGAAGCTAGGAGTCACTGATCAGCAGACATCCGTTGCCTCTGCTTAGCTTGAGAACCTAGCGAGATGCTTTCAGGAGGTTTGAAGATGGACACTAGGTGCATTAGATGCGTAACCATCTTCCTGCTGCCTTGGATGCTGCTGGCCTGAGGTTCGGGTGAATATTTTCTGTTTCATGTTGGGGGGAGGTAACATTTTTTCAGGATATCCTGTTCGTTTGGACTGTGTATATTTTAATATTATTTTGCTCTGTTTATTTGTCTGCACCATGTGTACTGTCTGGGCACTGCATATTGTTTTCCACTGTATGCTTTTATTGCATGAAACTTTAGGTACCTTGCTGCTGTTTGCACAAGAATCTTCCCCCTGGGTTCAATAAAGTTTTATCTAAAAATCACAATCGCGCTCAGATTTCCTAAGATGTAACAAAATTTCTCTGTGCTCTGCCTGGTCGGTGAAGAACGGGAGACGCCATGTGAACAAACACAGAGAGTCTCACACACAACCTGCAAGTTTCTGCTGCAGCTGACTTTCTAAATATATACAGCAAGTAACTAGGAGGGACTTTAATTGCTCCAATGTGCTGCTAGGACTCCAGGCACCAGCTCGTAAAACGGGGGGTGGGGTGGGGGGGAGGGGGAGGTCCATGGTGCCAAGGACGAAATGCACCCCCCTCTTCTCTTGTTACCAACCTCTGGCACACAGGCCAAACTCGTATGTCAGCACCATGCCATCCGTGAGCCCACAGCATAAAGAGGCGTCTCTGTTTTCACAAGTCAATCTCTACGGTATTTTTTTCATTGAGACACATGAGGCAGCGGCGGCGACGGATCGGGAGGCGTGAGATTAGGCCGGAGCTCCCAAGCAGATGTTTCCTTTTGTGTACAATGTGGTAAACAAACGGTGCACAATGACGGTGGAAACACTTACAGGGGAAGCAGGACAAGGGGGCACTAATTATTTATGAGGCAAAATGGAGGGTTTTTTAAGAGATGCACAGCTACAGAAATAGAGAAAAAGCAGAAGCTATACTGGAAATATATAATACTGTACATAATCACATCTATATGAAAACAAAAATACCAACATGAACTGAAATGTTGTGACGCTATAAAACATTCCGTTCAAATCCTAAAAAAACCACAAACCCTTTATGTGGGGATATTTACGTTAGACCAGCAGGGCGGCACACAATGTAGCAACAGATGGTGTCAGGAAGCGATAGATACTGGGTAAAACAGGGTGGGGGTTGGGGAGCCCAGTGGGGGGTGGGGGTGCCCTTACCTGCATGGTACACGCAAACACGCCGACCATGAGCATGACCACGGAGAGGTAGTCTGTGAAGACATCCCACCAAGGCTTGAGCACCCGGAACGCCGGCTGCTGTTCCATAAACTGGCGGAATTCCGTAACGGGAATCATGGCTCCTGTCGGGAGAATGAGGACAGCTCTGACAAAGGGACTCCGGCACGCCTGGGCCTCATCAGGAGGCGTGGCCAGTTCGACTTCCACCCCCGCCCAGATTAAGGTCACACTATTGTTTTTAAAAAAGGTAAAAAAAAAAAAAAAATCGCCATTTTATATCACAGGCAGCTTAGGCACCCATCTAAATTTAGCCTTGTTTGAACTGCATATTTCTTAGAAATGACCCCTCTCTATTCTAACAGACTGCGGTGAGAGTCACAGTTACTGGAAAAAACAAGAAAGCAATAAGAGTTAATTCAATAAGTCTGCCATTTCCATCCACTAACAGAGTCCGCTGAAGTGTGGCACGGTTTGATGTGTGGGATTTAAAGGGGAAGGTCAGATCCCCATTGGGGGCAGTGTGTAGCTCAGCAGGCTAAGTCTCTGTGCCTGTGATGGGCGGGTTGCCGGTTCGAGCCCCGGCCTCACCAGAACCGTCGTACGTCCATGGGTCCTGGAGCAACACCCATAACCCCCAGCTCCAGGGGTGCTGCACATTGGATGACCCCTCACTGCGACCCCCCCCTCACCTGCATATGTGTCTGCGTGTCCCATGGGGAGCCGCATGAGGTAAGCAAAAAGAGAATTTCCCCACGGTGTTTAATGAAGTATCACTATTCATATCCGCCATGCTGGTGACTCAGCACCCAGAAACGCCATGTTTTCTGCATCCCAAAGCAATCTGAGCAGCCGTTCTGCCTTATTTTTGAGGCTGAACTGTGACGTCATTCGTCCGATCAGAGACCTCCATCTACTTTCCGTTCAACAGTTCGGTCATGCGGACAGTCCTCCGCCTGCCTGATTACTCTGTTTACCTTTTTGGTCAAACAAACTGAAGCTGCATAAGGAGACTCTGCCCATTCTTAGGAAAAACACAACAACACAAACAAAACAAAAACGTCTAATGCAAATTGGGCAAAAGTCTCAGGCTGCTAATTATGCAGAAATTCTGCTTCAGGGGGCGCAAAACCATGATACTGTGTCTGTCACTGTCAGCAGAGGTTTGGAAACTGAAGCGGTGTTCATCTAGCCCCCCAGCCAGGTATCACTAACTGGCGGAAGAAATTCTTGTTACTTTTTTTTTTACTGTGTTATTGTTCATTGGCATATATTCTAATGTTAAATTGTGTTTTTCTTCTGTGCAAACATGCACATACTGCCCAAATAAATAGCTTTAAACATAAACATTTCTGTTGTACAGAACTGCATTCTAGATAATTAGACACACTGAAATATGGATCAGGCAATCTGTATTTCACTTATTATTTATAACTTCATTAAAATGTATTTATTTTTATGTAGTCACACCCTGCATTTGCTTTCTGGTCTGTTTCTACATACTTAGACCCCTATTTATCCTGGAGTAACATTTTCACTGTAACACTGCAAAAGGGTACTCACTGTAACACTGCAAAAGGGTACTCACCGTCTCACGGATGTTACCTCACGGCAGCAAAAGCTGGCGGCAGCCTATTGTTCTGGGTCTGAAGATAAAATTGACGGCCATTAAAAGTGATTGACAAACACACAAAACAGAATACGAGATCAAACTTCTTCAGACTGTAACACGAAAGACAAGAGAGAGCTAATTTTATCTCAGCACATCCGTTCGTGTGCATGCTCTGGATAACCACACCCTTTCAAGATAAACACGCCTGTTTGACTGTTTATAATTCACTAAATCCCCTGAGTTATCACAGATGAGGTATTTTCCCATGGACTTAATTCACAGGAGCTTTCGGAGATGCTTTATAATTCTGGTGATATTTTTCTCGTCCTGCACACTGCGTGTCTTAAAAGCACATCATCTCCAGCAGATGGTATGTCACCATCTGGACCCTCTTCCCATAAAGATCTCACATAAAAAGCACTGGTGGACAGCAGTGAACATTCCCGAGAACCGCGACCACCCAGCTGTGGAACAATAGTTATCAGTGGAGTGACTCGTGTAAAAGTCGTGTGAAATGTACAATTTGCAAGAGCTCAGGAAAGCCACCGTTCTGCTCAATGCTCACTAGAGTTCTGTAGGGTGGGGGGAGGGCTTTGCCTTTAAATAGTGGATCAAAACAAAAACTTAATCAGGAATTGTGATCATTATCACAAATGCTAATATTAAACTTACTGAGATAGCTTGCTTGTTCTTCAAATAAGATCTGAGTTCTTGTCAGTGGGCAAAATTTGTTCCAACAGTTTTTTTTAAATAATAAAAGTGTTCTTACTTCCTTAAATATATAGTAAGTACAACTGTACCAGGCTGGACTGCAGTTTCATGCCTTAGTATGACACAAAATCAACCCTCTCGATCCTTATTTGCTCTTAATAGCTCTTCACTAACCACCCATGTCTTACATCTGCTCTTTCCTGCAGGGCATAACCAAAATAAGGGTCAATTCATAGCTTACTCATTCCTAAGGAACAAAGTCAGCTCTCTGTGAGCGTTATTTGCACTTTTTCAGACCGGTGAAGGGAGCCCGCATGCACAGAGCATGTGTTAATTTAGCTCACACATTTGCTGCTTGTCTGCTGCTCGACTCACAAACTTTTCGGGGGCTCAGGCTTGACTTTTACTAGGCAGTAATCCTTCAGTCTCGTCTGCTCCCACTCCGCTATTGTTATCCATCAATGGAGATCTCAACCTTCCCACGGCTCAGAATAAGCTCATCTCATTTAAGTCGAGTCATGCTGGACAATACCGTGAAACAATTCAACAACCAGAAACCATAAGATATTAAACGTGGTAAAACTGGAAACAAAACCAGCCTGGAGACAGTTTGCATCACTCCGGCGCACCGTTTCATCCAAGGCAGCTGATCAGATCGCTACTAAATGTTTATTTAGCTAATCTGGGCATTTAAACCATCGCGAAAGGAGAGCGGTTCAGAGGCCACAAAGACACGTACTTTACATTGTGAGTAGTTCTTAAAAAGAAAATTAAATACAGCATTTTGTTTAAAACTACCATTTCCACCTTTGCCTGATTGCACTATTATGAAGACGCATGGTCATCTGTTGCGTGGGACTTTATTCCCGATTATTCGCCTTAAATGTCCAGTTAAATTAAATAACGCAGCTCCCTTCTACACACATTTCCACGAAGCGGGTTTTAAAGAGGCAGAAAGCAGCCCTCACCGTCCCCCTGCGCGTAGCGTCCTTGGCCGGGCTGTGCTGGTGCTGCGAGCGGCCGTGACCGCATGTCCTTCCTCGCGTTGCAGTGCGGCCGCTGCGCTTCCCCGTTATCCCGGCGGCGGGGCGGGGGCTCCAGTCTGCAAAAACTCCCCAACGCCGCCCCGAACACAACGGGGGGGCGCCTCTCCTTTTGCTCAAATAAGTTGTTATTCGAGACGACACGTCCATGTGAATATCCGCCGCCACCTCCCGCCCTTTCCGTTTCAGTGTAACGGGCAGCAGATGCCTATAATTTAGACCGTAAAGCGCTATAAATACGGACTGAGGTGTGTATGGATCTCTGCGGGAATGCAAGGCGAAATGCGGCGGACTGCTGAGCACACACATACACACACACACACACATACATACATACATACATACATACATGCATATCATTTACAATGTATTTTTCTCAAGACACCTCACAGCTAATGCTGCGCAGAAACGTCCATTTGTGTATATATAAAATATATAACGTCATTTATACCTTATATATATACATATATAAGGTATAAATGACGTTATTTCTAAAGTTTGCAGGAGTTGGTAAAGTTTGTAAATATGTAGAATACAAACGCATTAAGAATGAGGGTGGCTTTGCATGCTGAATGAATAAAGTCCACTGAGAGACATTACAGTATCACCGTTCGATTTCCGGGACTAAAGCATAAAAATACGTAACGATACGTATAAGGAAAAAAAAGGTACGGATCGCCAGCGATAGGTCTATGTGTAAATGATGTTTTGTGGCTAATCGATAGATGTTTTAGTGGAAATACTATTAACAGCTTTGGCCGCTGTCCAGGATGAGAATGAATTGATGCATTATTTGTACAGGCACATTGTAATGCTTCTTTTCCCGTATCATGTCTTACACTCCTTTGAGACGTACAAACATATACAGTTGAGATTGAAACTTGGGGTCGAAGCACAGGATCAGACATTTACCCAGCACCCCCTGCAGCATTTTGGGTGGTCAAGGGCCCAATGGAGATGACGGTTCTGCCAAGGGTGGGCCCACATCCCTCTGGTTACACACACAGAGGCCTGACCGGCTGAGCCACACAGGATGGACAGATTACTAACAGCAACAATTAACCAGTTAATCAAAATAACAGTAATGTTACTTCCTCAGTAGAGGAAAGCAGGACAGGCGGACTCCTCCTTATCAGTATGGTCACTTTGGGCGGAGGCTGAAAAAATGAGAGGCTCAATGGAAGTTCCCAAAAACACAGTCATTATCCACTGTGATTAGGGACAGAGCATCACACAGATATTTACTCACATGAAACAGAGGTAGGTACAGTAGACGCAATATGGACTTCACCCCTCTGCTGGGAGAGACGTCTTGCAGCTCAGATTTTGGAAATCTGTTTCTTCTGGTGCTACATAGTAAAGGGGTTTCTGTAACTAATGTTGTTTCTTCATAATATGAACATGGTTTTGAAGGAAACATTTATTCCAGAACAGAAAATGTGAGATCTGATGAAGAATAACGCAAAGCGATTTTAGAAACATGCACAGCAATGAACCGTTCCAGAATGACACAGCTGTGTACAGCCAAGGCGACTGTTTTCGTAGCGATTTCGTGGGTATTAAAGATTCCAGAGAGACCACATACTGCTCATTGTGAAGTTAATGAAATGTTGGGCTGTTATCAACGTGCCACTTAAACGACACAGTACAGAGTTCAGGAGGGACGCCAGCAGATTAAATGCAGGTCTGAGCAAACGTGCTGACGGTAGCAAAATTGTCTTTTTTTTGTTTTACTTTGGGACTTAGTTCTGGCCAAAGCTTATTAGTCTTGTTCCCAGTGTTGCAGTGGAGATACAGTCCAGATTTTGCCAGAAGATTAATGATATGAGTGATTGCAATACTGTGCATAAAAACAAAGTACATTTATCAGAACAGGTAAATCACAAGTTAGAAATTTTCATTTAACTCCAAGCTGCCGTAGCCTCGAATGACTTCACAGGAAGATGGCTGCCAGTTGTTTCATTTTCACCTGGCCTGCGCAGATGTACGAGGGAATGAAAGACACCATCGCCGATCCGAACGCCGTTTGCCAGGGCTTCTGTCGGAGTTGCGTCACTCTGGAATCGGAGAAGGTAAACGTGAGGCTGTGTTTATAAAACGCTCCAGGACACAGATGCGTGGGTGTGGAGTAAGTGGAGATCAGCAATCAGAGTGTGTGCTAATTGCAGTTTTGGAGAAAAGACGTTTTGTTTTTGCCTGCACTCTGACTGCTCTCTGAGGTGAATCACCAAAGAGTGCATTCAATGCCAGCCTGCTTTCTCCAAGGTCCTCTCACAGGCAAGGCAGGGGTGACAAGTTCTGCCTTATTTTATATTTATACCTCATTGTCGAACCTGTTTTTCCTCTCTTCTGAGTATTTTTCACCTCTCCCTCTCTGTGTCACGCATGTTATTTGGACGAAATGTGAGCAACCAATCAGATGTGTAGTTAAAAAAAAAAAGAACAACCCTAACCTCACTCTGGAACTCTACTGGATGAACTTATTCCATCTCTAGAGAATTATATCTGTCCTCAGTTTCGAGTTTTATTGTCACTTGTCGGGAGGAGCACAGTGTAATTCGTATTCTGCAATGGTAGGGAAGACAAGAGCGTGGAAGAATGAGAGGGCAAACAGCAGTGCGATACAGCACAAGACAGTACAGTATGAGAATATGTAAACACGGGGGTGCCGTAAAGGGGGGGGGGGGGGCGCTAGGGTGATTCCAAGGGCCCCTGACTGACAGGGGCCCCAGAAATTTTCAATCTTAATTGGTCTGGGTTGAGGGCCCAAAATCTCTAGTAGCACCCCTGTGTGAGTAATAAACAGACAGTGCTATATGGTGATGAGCATGTGGAAAGTGACAGCAGTACCGTTAATAAAGTTCAGGTGGTATATTAAGTGTGCAGTACAGTGGGTGCGTGACGGAGGGAGTGATACAGGTCACCGGGTGTTTAGCAACCTGATGGCCTGGGGGCAAAATGTGTCCCCGTAATGGGTGATTATTGCAGTGATGCACTGGCAGCACTGCGCCGAGGGCAGGAGCGTGAGGAGGGCGTGAGCTGGACGATGGACCTCGGCCGTCTTCTGGCAGCGGAGGAGCTAGATCAAAAACACTGAAGGTGATCCGTGTCTGTGATTTCCGAGGCAATCGTGAACGGTTAAGTTACCTCGCGGTTAAATCACCACCATGGCCCAGACTGTCGGCCTGTATTGTGATAGACCTTCTACTGTTTCTCCGTGATTCAGCGCGGATCCCCACCCCAGATTTAATGCCACGTGATTCAAAGTCCAGACAAAGTACGGTAACTGAAGAACTAAGATGTGCTCATGGCTTCAAACACGCAAGATGACAAGATTGTGACTAATTAATTCCTCGGATGTGCATGATGTCATTCCAAGTGTGCTTATTTAATGTAATTAAATGATGCTTTTAAGTTTTTAATGGCAGGATTGACTAACATCTGAAAGCAAGAGTCCTTTGGCCCATCTCTGATACCTTTTTATACCTTTAGATCACTGTATTTTGGTTGGGAGACAGTCCAAACCAGACTGTAGACCAACAGGAAGTATCTACCTCCAGGGATGAACTTCCTGAGGCAACGTCCTACTGAGCAGCTGGGAAACGGAGAGATATTGGCCCTTAAGGACCCGAAGATGGGAGTGAACAGCTAAATAACACATTAACAAATAGACACAAAAAACAGGCTCGTTTTAGACGGGGCATGTTCAATATTTATCGAATATAAGGGCGTATTAGTCAAACTTTTCCAAAGGGTATATGGAAATGCACTTAATTATTCCAAAAATGAAAAGATTGAAAGAAAGTGTCCCTCCGGCATTTCATTGTAGTTTGTAATCAGCCGGTCCCGGCGGACCGCGATTTTCCGAGCGCTCAGACCCGGCGCGGAAGCCCACTGGAACTGGGTGCGACGGGGAGCGAGTGAAATTAGAAATTCACTTTAATTTCACTAATTACACCCAAAAGGCACAGGCTGCTAAGATGCTGTGAGAAAACCCATCAACCAGGATTCATTTTTAATGGGAGGTTGGGGTAATAAATAAATTAGGGGCGTGATAAATCTAAAAAAACAAAAAGAGTCTAACTTGGTTACAGTTGGAACTGGGGAAATACAATGATTATCAACAGGAATTAGGTGGGAAAAACGCTGATGCCAAAACACCAAATTGCTTCTTCAAGGTATTTTATTTCAGTCGGCTTTTGGCTGTTTTTATAACAAACAGGCTAAAGAAAATAAAAGTTTTTCAGTATTAAATCAAGGAAATACCACCAAAAAAATCAAATACTACGTTTTTAAGAGCATTTACTTGGAGATTACCATATTTTCTGTTTTTTGGAAAGTTCTTCCTGTAATGGGAAGCGCTGCCGATGGCTTTAGTCACGGCGGAGCAGCCGCCCTGGGTACACCTCTCACTGACCTCCCCAGCTGGGTGACCTGACCTCCTCCCTGTCACAGTTTGAGCTCCTAAACCCCTACTTGACTCCACTTGCATACTTATTATCATGAAGACTTACAGCAAATTGGACCCTGGCTCACGATGATGGCCGAACCATGCACGTGACTCGTGAAGATTGCTTATTTGGTGGATCGTTTGTAATTAAGTGCATGGCTGTGAATTATTAATTCACGCTCACCGTCTGATTTGCACCTAAGGCGCTGAAAAAGATTGTGCCCCGCTTTAAATCCAGTCCCAGGAATTTCAGCTTGCAGCAGTAATACCGGCGTGGGATCTCCTGTAGGCTCATTAAATATACATCATCAATGTGCTGTGACAGAAATCCCAACGTTGACTTCCGTTCGATTCATTATAACCCCCTCCTCCCGCTCCAGTGCAGCATTTTCGGCTCCAATTACACAGGAAGGGAACGTCAATGGAGGGGATACGTGTAACAGTATATGACTAGAACATAAATCGAAAATCTAGCAACTATCAACGGAGTTCTTGCAGTCTTCATTTTAGACAAGGTTATTTCCGTTTTCAGCAAGTATTTGTTGATTTGTGCCTTAATATTTTCGTTGTAATGATATTTTTATTACAGTAAAATATGCAGTAAAATATGCATTAAATAACTTCGCATTTTTAAAAATAGTTGGGGAAAATAGTTAATACACCTAAAAACACACTACAATGAGCGGAAAGAAGTACATGTAGAATATATTATTACTGGTGCGATGCATTATTAATCACGGCTCAAATTAAAAATTCAGTTTTTTATTTGTTTTAATTAATACAGTTCAACTTTAATAAAAACCCTTTCTAGTCGTGTTAATTAATTTCATTAGAAATGAATACAGATCGATCTAGTTAATTACATGCTCAAGGTCTTTGCTTTTATGATTCCATTCTCACTAGAAATCAAACGCTGCTTTCAAAAACACAAGGCCTAAGTACATTTTTCCCTTTCATGAAATATGAATCCAGCATGAGAATGAACTGTACTTCTGGTGCTTGTGGTTTGCCCCCCCCCCACCTCCCCCAGGGATCTCACTAGCATTTGTAACGCTATTACGATAATACCCTGCTAGCACAAGACACTATCCGTTCAAGTGAGAAACAGCCGGGGTCCGCGCTTTGTCAACCGCTGTGGATCTACCGCCCCCTGCTGCTGGCTTTAAATATAGCCGCAGCTGAATTTAAATTAAACGTTGAAATTCATTGACATTTGCAACTTCATTTAGTAAGTAAAATTCAGATATCGGGAATGTGTTCACTTTTATGTTAAATCTGTGCATAATTAGCATATTGTACACCATATGAAAACATTTTACTGAAGAATGTTTTGTGTGAAATGCTTAACATATTCACACTTCAGAACTTTTTAACCGTGCATGTGCTCTAGGAAAGTCGTATAGTCCAGATGGCTGGAATTCCTTAGATCCTAATTATGATAGCTCCAGAGACACTGGGGCTTAATTGGACTAGGGAATTTTGGCTATCTGTAGCATCAGGGCTACTTAGGGACATTTTTGGCTCTCTCTACTGGAACGATGGCATCCTGCGGCCAATTCGAATGGCAGATAGCCGGTTGCTCAGATCATTTTGTAATAAATGAGAAGAGGTCTTTCCACTCTGCTCTTCGCAAGTATGTGGTGTGGATCGGGGGCTTGCAGAGAGATTTAATAAGGAGCGTTTGATAAGCACATCACATCAATTAAAAACCACACATCATTCTAAATGAAATCTGAGATCACTGATTTACAGCGATATCCATTGCTAATCACTGATCAGACCCAGAGAAACTGTCATTTCCGGAGAAAGTGTATGAGCCTCTTTGAGACACGCCCACGGAACCTCAGGAGGCGGGGCCGTCATGCACATCAGCCACTGATTAATTTAACCCAAGTGTTACTACACTGGCACACACTGTTAAATCAAGCAGACCACAGTCTCCAGTATTTTTTTCCATCTCAGCTACAGTGACCTGAAGTTGACCTCATATGACACAGCGCTTACACTCGCTTTAAATCATTACCACACACTGCGCTAAATTATTACTGAAGTGTCACTTTTTGGTTTAATGTTACAGCAGTATGTTTACTATTTGGATCTCTTTTTATGGCCGTAACTTCAAATGACACTTTTAATTGTCATTTGCACAGGTAACACGCGCACGCGTGCGCACACACACAAACACATACAAGTTGAGAGCAAAGCTTGGCGTTAAGGGCCTTGATCAGAGGCCCCATGGATATGTGAATATTGTACCAAAGCCGGGACTCAACCTAGTCACCCCCCCCCCCGTATTGCATGTTTATGTCTGTAAGTTCCATGGGGGGTGACTGCATGCTTTCTGGAGCGGCCTTATGTAACGGTGATGACATTCCCAGTGGCTTCAAGATTTTCCACAACAATCATAAGGGATCAGGATCAAGGTCCTTTTGTGTCCAGGATGCCCAAGCGAGGCGGCGATTTTGCAGTAGAAGAAGGATGACGGTCTGTTACTGACGCTCGCCCGTGATTCAGGTCGAAAAGCAGCTGGTCAGAGTCCATGTGGCGTCTGAGGCATAATTACACTTTGTCTTGGACGGCAGCTTGCGAAGATCGCCGCTTATGTCGCCTATAGAGATGACGAGCCCCGTTGACAAGTCCTGAGGACTGTTAACCTGACTGGCTTGTTATTGGAGCGATCTGCATTGCAGGGACAGGGGGAGATATTACCAGGGCGGACTCACAAGGACAATGCCCCCTCTGTCCATGTGAAACAAGGAGACTTTTCAGGGAACATACAGCGGCTGCATGGAAACCTTTCTGCGGGTCGGGGTAGCGTATTGGTGTTAGCGGTCCCACTGGGAAGGAGTGTCAAACGCAGCTATGACGGGGCCGCGATCTGTAAGCTAAATATCCAGAAACCTCATTGCGAAGGATGATTTTTAAAATTCTGTTAATAAAAATAATGGAATGTTAACAGGGTCTGCCACCATTATCCAGGAATGGAAACACGATGAATGAGTCGGTATTTTTGTATAATTTTATACCTGAATGTTCTCAGGGGGACCAGCGAGAGGTGAAACAGCACTGCCTGATGTTTATTACCTCTCAGGCTAGGTGCTGATCGCTGAGAAGCGGCAAGGACAACGAGCCACAAGCTTACGGAGCCGCTAGGTATCAGCGCTGCCGCTGGGGGCGCCCTCTCCTGAAACGCCAACATCGTTGACAGGAGTGGCAGGAACTTCTAAGGAACTAGCGCACCATGACAAGACCGGCGCCACCTAGGGGACGGGCTGTGTCCTCCTAATGTCTGGATTTCTAAGTCATGTCTTGGTGATCCAGGTGTTTTGACATTCATGCCAAAAAATAAAAATAATGATTTTATTTTTTTTAATTATAAGGCAAGGAATTCAAGTGTGTGCTTATTGTGTGTTGCACAATAATATTTTGTTTAAACACAAGCTAAAGTCCAGCTTTTTAAGATGTAAGCGCGAGTCCTGCTCCCTGGTGTGACGTGTAGCCTTCACCAGTGTCCTTCTTACACAAGGCTGCCTCAGAGTTCATATCCTTGAATATTACCCTTCCATTCTTATTGGCTTTCCCCCTTACATTATCTGCACTACCGATGAAAAGTTCAGCAGGCTTACTGTGGGATTTTTAAAGTAGCATTCGCAGCAGGTATGTGAAAATAAACATTACATTTAGTTGTTATCATTGCGTTCACCATATTTGCCAGTTTAGTTTTTCAACCTCAGCTTTAGAGGCCCTCTGTCTGAGAGAGAGTCTGAGGCGGTTAGTTGGCTTCAGAAAAACCTCTTTATAATTTTTCTTAAGTTATTATTAAGAATATTTCAGGAAATGCCCCTTACAGAGGCCAGCCCAGATGTTTCTCTACGGTTGCTTTTTTGAGGACTGTTTGTAAGTAAGATGCTGTAATTAATAATTAATTTAAATTGCTTTTCTGTTGCTTGCGAATTAGCGACGTGTTTTCTTTGTTATTTGTATAACGTTTTCCCCACACCGAAGAATGAATCAGGAAATATAACATCCAAAATGAATATATGCTATATTAGTTTTTACACTATACTAGTTACACTTTTTTTTAATCACCGCTGTTAAAACCTCCATACTAATGGTCTCTTCTCTGGTTTTTTACATTTACCTATATTTGTTTAGCAGATGCTTTTGTCAAAATCGACGTACTAGGGAGGATCAAAGAGCAGGATCTACCAGGTTAAGTTCCTTACTCAAGAGACGAACGGTGAAGTCACTCTGAAATTACCCTAGATGTTGTTATAAGATGTAACTTCTTTAAAAAAATTAAATCGGCGCCTTAAGGAATGATGCTGAAAAGTACGTAATAATAGCCGAAATTTCCTTTGTGACTTTCCGTACGGATTGTGCCTTTCGATGCCCCGTAGACGATGGAGCACGTGATGCTCACAAAGCTATATATACATGTAGACGTCGCTGCTTCTTAACAGCTACTGCTAGCAACTTCGCGAGCAGGCAATATGGCGTCGACGAGCCGGTAGGTGGTTCCCCCCCCCCCCTTCGCGAATATCCGTCTTTTATAATGCGTCATTTCTCCAATACTCACCCATCTGTGTAGTCGGGTGCTTATTGTTATGTAGCCTCTCCGCGAGCTCTTTGTCAGGTGGAACAGTCCCTGCATCCAGGATGTCGGGCTTCGGCGATAAACAGGCGGACACTTTGTGTCCTGCTCGCTCGATCACAGGTGTCATCGAGCCGCGGCCCGTTCGCGGCTCCCCGGCGCGATGCCGTGTGGCTCCGGTCGGCCGGCGCTCCGTGGACCCCCTCCACTTGCTTTGTTTGACATTTTAAGCGGCACTGTCATCCCGGACGTACTGCGGCGTATTCACCGGCGGGCATATAGAGCTTTTCGGGGCCGGCTGGGACGGTGCGGGCTCCGGGGCGGCTGGCACACGGGCAGCCCACAGCGGAGCCATTGTTTGCTGGTCTGTCCCCTGTTTCCCATCCCGGCTTCCGTGGGTCTCCCGCATCTGCCGCCGGTACTGGGCCGGGTTCCCTTTCGGTTCCCTTTTTCCTTTTCCTTGGCGGATTTTAGGCTCTTATTGCAAACGGCACAGACTGACCCAGTGCCACTCCGCTGTATCAACCTGATTGTTTGCGGTAAAACTAAACCACTTTAAATGTCTGCGATAATGTGAAAAAAAACAAAAACAAAAAAAAAAAAATACAGAAGCCAATGACGCCCAGCAGCTGAAAAAGACAAATGCCCGGGCTAAATATAGTAAGAGGCCGCTGGTGAGCTGCGCTTTTTGTGCTTTGTGATTTACAGGTTTAAGGTGTGGCGTGTCTGCCTGTCATTCCCTACAAGACCTGTAGTGTCGGTAACGTTGTTTAAATGCCGTTTAATCATTTCACGCCTAGATTTACCTTTAGCATGACGATACTTGGAAAAATGTAAAATTATCCTCAATCATTAAATTTAAAAGCCCTTAGTCTATTAACAGAGACTTGACTATTTAAAGTTGCACAGCAGAGAGAGAAATCCCTCAGCGAAAAGAAAACGTGACTCTAAGGGAGTTCAGGGCAAACTCCCTCTATTTACTCGCCCTTTAGCACATGAGTCATGACTGCTTTCTCCAGCTGATGCTAAAACCCCTTCTCCTTTCACAGTGGAGACCCCCTTCCCAAGGTGCAGTGCCCCAACCACCCCGATGCCCTGCTGGTGGAGGACTACCGAGCGGGGGACATGATCTGCCCCGAGTGTGGCCTCGTCGTGGGTATGTGGCCTTCGTAGCAGACGCGCTCCCCCAGGGCCAGCCCTACATACGGGCTGTTGGCTGTCCGACTTGTCTGTTAGTCAGACTAACCTGCTGAGAGAAATTAATTGGAAAGGCTTTGAACGATGCTGCACTGCTGCTGTGGGACTCTGTGGCACTCCATGTTCCACTCATCCCATTAAAACACACCGATTTCACCTCGTCACTCTGTCTGATTTTTAAAAATGTTACGCCTTATGTTTTCCTGCTGCTTTCCTGGGTACGAACATGACATGCCGCTGATAAATGCCCCCACAGGTCACAGGTCAACGGGGGTCCATGTATCAGTCTACGAGTCAGGGAACTGCTGTCTGCCTAATGCAGAACATCGTTAGCCCGCTGTTGGATTTGGCTGGGGGGGGGGAGGTGTCTTTGTAGTCAGGGGGTTTGTAAACGTGTGTGATTTGGCGGGGGCGGGGGGGTCCTTTCTGTCTTTCTGTGGTTAAGTTTAATATTCAATGAAAGACGACATGACAAAAAGGGCCTGATTTGTGACTGCTGCCATCAACGCAAGAACAAAGACGAGGCTGGGGGTTCCTGTTAGTGCAGGATCGCAGTTCCTTGCTGCCTTTTATTAAAGGAGGATCCATTATTTGTATTGTGGGTCAATGGTGGAATCGCGGAGCCCTATTCAGCAGCAGCGGAGGCTGCACTTCAAACGAGTCGCTGACTCTAGATTTTTAGTTTTCTTTTATTCCGATGGTAGTCCACCATTTTCAAAGAAATCGTCCAATGGGGAGTCCTTATTGTAATTAAAACTTTTCATCCCGTTTTGCAAATAATTACTGTATTTTTTTGTGGGGTTAGGCCAACATTGCTAGTTGCTGAAATAATTAGGTGTCGTTTAAGATTTTAATCAAGCCCAGAATGAACATGTTAATTCCTTAATGATGGAAATATTGCACGTCTGTTTTAGTTAAAGTAGCAAAGTTGTTTTCATAAGTCAAATGTGTTCTTGAGTCAGGTACCAGTCTCTGCCTGCTGGTGGCGATAGAGGGGCATGTTTTTTATTATTATTTTTTTTTATTTCTCTTCCGCCTCCACCTGTTTCCTGTATCTTTCCCTGGTGTTAAAAGAGAACCTGGGTTCCGGGGAAGCGATCTGTGTTCCCACGGAGTCCCGTGATCCTGGGGCTGTTGTCATGCTCTGTCAGGGTGATTAGTTATTTTAGTTTGCCTTGTTACATTAAACATTGTAAAATGATCTCATGAACATTAAATGATAGGTATTCATAGTAACACTGCCTTCAGCTAGAGCAGGGGTGGGCAATCGTATCCGCAAAGGGCAGGTGTGTATGCAGGTTTTTGGGATAACCTTTAGGTCAGCTGTTCAAACCCAGGTGTGATGATTCTTCAGGCAATCAGCCCTCTAATTAGTAATTTAATTAGGGAGTTGCAGCGAAAACCCGCATGCACACCGACCCTTTGCGGATAAGATTGCCCACCCCTGAGCTAGCTAGATGGGGTTAGTGTTCTCTGTCTGAGTGGTGAGTTTTGAACTGTGATGGAGATGTAAGTCACGTGATGTTAGATGTAGATATGTTGTGGGTTCAAAGCATCTCTGATTTCTGTCAGCTAAATTTTGATTGTGTCTGAATGTGGATAGCTAATGTTCTTTATCGTTAGGGATCCGTCATCAGGGTAGCACTGAGTTTCAGCACCAGGCATGTTTGGACCTGAATTACTGTTCTGAGAAGGTCGACTGTGGAGTTTCTTTTTTTTTTTTTTTTATTCTGGACATCAGCTAAATATTGTCAGCAGTATTCATGTTGCCAGCAGCATCCTTTTCTGTGCGCTACATCAATGGGTGTTAAGGAAAGGAAAAGTATGATCCTATTGGTCGCTGCAGAGGGGGGGGAGGGCTTCTGCACATCTGATGCATGATAGGTAGTCATCCTGCCAGCAGGGGGCAACAGTAAAGAACAAGCCAGGTCTGCAGAGGTCTTTCCGTGGGGAGTGTCCTGGCTCGTGTGAGCTGCTGATCTGCGCACGATATGGCAGTGATCTGTAAGTTCCTGCTTTGCATTACCTGACACCTGCCTGGGTGTCCCAGTGGATTCTTGCAGAAGAGCTAAACGCTTAGTGACCCTTATCCCTTCAGCTTTATTATTATATAGGGTGTTTCTCTGTGTAGCTCACCTAAAGGGCTTAAATGAGGGAAATGGGCAAAACAATGTAGGAGAGGAAACACAAACTTCTGCAGTAGAAAGAACCCTACAGAGGTCAATGGTCAGCTGGCTGCCCAACCCCCTTCAGTGCTAACAACGTATGCGTCAGAAACAGGTGGGGGGGGGGCTTCTGTTTAGCGTGCTGTTGGCACAACTGCTGGTGAGTTGGTCTGTGCAGTACATTCCAGTTAGTGATGTCATTGACCAATCACAGACCGATACGGTGGGGTGGGGGGGAGGGACGGTCAGAGTTGGATCTTCTCAGGCTGGGGGGTTTTATGTCCCCAAGACAACCATTATAATTCTTACGTGGGAACAGGTTGGCCTTCCGTTCACACACTGCCGAGGGAGGGGGGGCTGCTTTTAATCCGGTGTATAGATCATGCCACTGGAATAAATCTGGTTTAGGAGGTGGTGTGTGTGGTATAAGGTGGGTTGGCCGTGTGACTGTGTGAAATTTAAGTGGATGATGATTGTTTAAAGCAGGGGTAGCCAATCTTATCTGCAAAGGGCCGCTGTGTATGCGGGTTTTCGCTGAAACTCCCGAATTGGATTACTAATTAGAGGACTGATTGGCTGAAGAGTCCTCACACCTGGGTTTGAACAGCTGACCTACAGGTTATCCCAAAAACCTGCATACACACTGGCCCTTTGTGGGTAAGATTGGCCACCCCTGGTTTAAAGGAAAGGGAAAGTGATTAGTTGTCGTTGACACACCACAGCAAGCAGTGGCCAACGACAAAATGTGTTCTATGCATTTAAACCACATGTCACATTGCGACATATAGCAGGTGGCAACTTATTGGGCACCCAGGGAGCAGTGCTTGGGGGCGCTACCTTGCTCAGGGTATCTCAGTGGTGCCTTGCTGGTCGGGAATTCGAACTGGGAATCTTTCGATTACAAGTGCGCATCCCATTAGGCCACCACTTAAATCTGTGCCATGTGCTCAATACAATTTCCTTTCCGTGTGCAGAAATTTGATGAACAGGCTGAAATTTTTTGGGTCGAATTGTCTAGTCTGTCATTCCCTCGATGGCCACATGGTGGCACATCATGCTGGGGAATTAACTCCTGATCTCGCAAGTGCTACATTGACATTAAACGACTTGTTGGCCTAAAAATGGAAAGTTTTAATATTGTTTTCAACGTGTTTGCAAATATACAAAATGTGTATACAGCGAATCCTGTTGTGAAAGTTGTAGAGCTGGCTTTCAAGTAAATCAAAGAAGTTTTTCTGTTATGGAAGTGGACTAATTTTATTATTTGTAAATTAGATGCTTAACTCAATTTTTTTCGATACAGCCACTTAATTTACATACATTACCCATAATCCTTAAGCTGTCTGCTGTGGTACCTATAAGTTACCTGTACACTGAACTGAGAGAGGCCTTCTAGCAGATTACCCCTTGTGTTGTGCCTGCAGGGTCAGTAGAGATCATAAGTGCAATTCTGGTATGACCGGTAGGGGTCAGGATTCTGCTCAGGGTGTATTTTATTACAGCTCTCCCCTCCCCTCCTTCCAAGGAAATGACTCATAGTTTAAATTTGGAAGCTCGGTCTTGACAACGTGAGGAATTGCATCACCCGCGCCCCCAACAGGCCCCCCTTTGGCACGGCGTGATGCGATCACTCACATTCCTTTCAGGGCTCAGTAATTACCATCTCAGATCCAGTGCCTGGACCTGCCGTCCCAGGCGGGACCCTCGAAAGCAGCAAAGTGTGAAGTCTAAGTCCGGCTGCCGATTTATTTCCCGGAGTCTGCTGTCTGGCAGTACTTCTGCTAGTCTGTGTGAGCAAAAGCCCCCCCGTTTCAGCTTGAGTAAGGCCCCTAACCCTCAGTTGCTCCTGGGACTGTTTGACCCTGCTTTCGCATAAATGAGATGCAATTGTGATGGTCCCGATTCCCTGCAGGGGACCGCGTCATCGACGTCGGGTCAGAGTGGAGGACCTTCAGCAACGAGAAGGCCACAAAAGACCCGTCCCGAGTGGGCGATGCTCAGAACCCGCTGCTCAATGGCGGGGACCTCACCACCATGATCAGCAAGGTACCGGAACCAGGGTCCAAAACACCAGCGCGTAACCCCCGAGCACATTAGCGGTTTCTGGACCTGCCTTCTGTAATCACCAGCTAATGTCACGATTCACGTCGGATTGAGTTGCGATCGATGTTTATCGCCGTGCAGGGAACGGGCGCGGCCAGCTTCGATGAGTTCGGCAATTCCAAGTACCAGAACCGCCGGACCATGAGCAGCTCGGATCGGGCCATGTTGAACGCCTTCAAGGAGATCAGCACCATGGCCGACAGGATCAACCTCCCCCGCAACATCATCGTGAGTGTCCGCCTGTGGCCCGCCAGACCGGAACCTCCTTTTGACACGGCGTTTCTGACGGAAATGCTCCTTCTCTGTAACTCCCCCCAGGACCGAACAAATAACCTGTTTAAGCAAGTTTACGAGCAGAAAAGCCTGAAAGGCAGGAGCAACGACGCCATCGCCTCGGCCTGCCTCTACATCGCCTGCCGACAGGAGGGGGTCCCGCGGACCTTCAAAGGTACGTTCCAGCGTCTCCTGACCGCTGAAGACGTTCCTCCCTGTCCCTTTTCTGACGGCTCGTCCTCCCACAGAGATCTGCGCCGTGTCTCGGATTTCCAAGAAGGAGATCGGCCGGTGCTTCAAGCTCATCCTGAAGGCGCTGGAGACGAGCGTGGACCTCATCACGACCGGCGACTTCATGTCGCGCTTCTGCTCCAACCTGGGGCTGCCCAAGCAGGTGCAGATGGCGGCCACTTACATCGCCCGCAAGGCCGTGGAGCTGGACCTGGTCCCCGGCCGCAGCCCCATCTCCGTGGCGGCTGCTGCCATCTACATGGCCTCCCAGGCATCTGCTGAAAAGAAGACCCAGAAAGGCAAGCCCCCCCCCCCACCCAAACACCAACCATAACCCCACCCACATGACACCAGCAGTGCCTCTGGTTACATTTGGTACAAATGGGACTGATTTGTAGGTTGAGTACTTCGGGGTGGCGATTGGTTCGAGACCCATTGACGTTATTCTTGAACTCCCCCAGATCTTTTGCAGATGGATCAAGTCATTGGTGATTTTTTTTTTTTTTTGTTAATGACAAAAATAAAATGTTTCTCTCCCTCCTCAGAAATCGGAGACATCGCTGGAGTGGCAGATGTCACCATCCGACAGTCCTACAGGCTCATATACCCCCGAGCCGCCGACCTCTTCCCCCCCGACTTCAAGTTCGACACCCCTGTTGACAAGTTGCCCGCGCTGTGATATGTTTTCCCTTTTTTTTTTTTTTGTATTTTTAGGAGTTTTTTATGAAATTCAATTTCTAAGAAACTTAACTTTGTTTTGCTGGTGAAATTTGAATCTTTGTAAAGAAGTTTCCGGGTATACAAGTGTACAGAACGCATTCCGAAGCTTTAACAAACTCGTCTCCTAAATCTCGTTGGTGTACATACTGTATATATGTCCGATTCGCAACTATAACTGGTGATTGCAGTTAGGCTGGTTTCATACTGTATTTACACTTTCTTTTTGTAGGAAATGAGCAAGTTATATTTTGTTAGTTGTATGCAATATACTTAGTAAATTAAAATAAATAAACACAATTTCCCTGCTTGGTGAGTCATCTGTGTCGGGGGGGGGGGGACAGCATAACTCTCTCTTCTGGGGGCTTGTGCGACATTCCTACTGACCTTTCCACTAGCCGGTAAATTCCGCAAAGTCCCCCATTGTTATGAAATATGCAGGGAATGTTGGGGGCTTCTTCGTGTTGGGGGTGGGGTGTGGTTCACTGGGTTAGGACTCGGGGCCTGTGGTTGCCGTTCAAGGGCCCGAAGGCGGCCCCTAGTTCCCACACTGACCCCCCAAGCCTGCTCCTGTATAGGCGTCTCACGGAGAGCAAGATGGTACTGGTGAAACAAGACTGCCGGTCCCCACGGCAATGCAAAATATATCACCGTTCCATTCTGTAGTGCCCCCCCCATCAGGTATTCCAGTGCAGGGGGGGGTCCCCATCTGTGTCCCTCCCACTCCTCAGCTGCTGCTGTATAAATTAGTCAAACTTAAGTACACACCTTGGCCACGCCCTCTGGGAAGTTGGTTGGACAAGTCTAACGGGTAAAATTTCCTTTTTCCAGAAACTGGAACATTTTCACCTGAGGGCTGTGCTTTGGTTTTTTTTAATAAAATCCTGTCACGCGGAGCTCAGCTATTGCCTGTGTGACATGATCAAGTCCAAACAAGGTGCCAACCTACACACACACACCCGGCAACTCCGGGTTTAATATACTTACACTAGTGTTGTAAGTTTCCATTTGATTCTGAAGCTAATTTACAACCCCCCCCCCCCCAACATGCATAAAGAGGAAGAAACTGCCATCTCTGCTACAGATGTTTAATTTGTGCATTCACAATATGCATAATAACTGTAAAGTATTTAGCACCCCGCGCTCATCGCCGCCGCCCTGCAGGCCAGGCGGTGGCAAACCTTTCACAACCATCGCTCCTCATGTGCTCAAGCAGCCGGTTTAGCATACAGTATATAGAAAAAGGTATTTACAACCTATTTTCACAAGTAAGCTAAAACTTTCAAAACTACAGGTAAAATTAGTGCTTTCAACATAACTGTGTAAATACACCCCCCCCCCTTCCCACCCTGTAGTGATTCATCTTTAAAAACATTTACTGTACAGCGTCAGAGCTGAGCCCAGTCCATGTTGGTACGAGGATCCTCACAGGCTGAGTGAGTACGTGGGCTTCCTCACAAACACCCAAAGGTAGCATCCGGCCCCCTGATCATCCAGATGATCACGACGCTCTCGCTCCCGCTCTCCGAATGAAGCCGTGGCACATGAGCTGACTGGTCCCGGATCAGCTCTGCTGCTCTGGCATCGTTGGAGGCCTGGCTTTGCCCTGTCCCGGCTGGAAATAAGCACCCCCCCCCCCCCCCCCCCAAAAAAAGGGCTGCTTTGGCATGCACAACGCTAAAATATACACTTCACTTTTTATGAATATACATTTTTTTACATTCCGTTTCAGAGGTCCAGAATGGCTTTCATCTTCTGACATCGTTCCATCGCTGAAATACCGAACATATTTGCGTGTAAAAACACACCTCCCCCCTTTACAGCAGATCCAACATGCTGGTTTTCTAAAATACAATATAAAACTATACAGTTCGTTTCTCCGACGATGGTCATAAAGGACTTTTGATTCCCGTTTCTTTTAAAAATTAAGCTCTCCCAGCAAATAGATTTTTTCTTTTTTGCTGCGATTCCGATTTAAAATGGATAGAAAAATATGACCATTTGGCAACCAACTCCGGTAGCTTCTCTGTACCTGTCCGTTAGCGATCGGAAGCTAAAATCAGCGACGAAAACACATAAGGCATATTAAAAACAGACGCAATAAATACAAAAACAAGGCAAGGATGAAATTAACGTTCTGGCGGGAGGAGTCAGTTGAGGAGGCCTTGCGTCTGATGTAAAGAATGTCAATATTTCATAGCCTCTTACTTTGGAGGGACCTCTGGTCTCACTGAAAGTATGCAAGGATGTCCATAAGTTCGACTGCATCCAAGGCAAAAAGTCAAACTGTCTGAGAAGCCTGGGGTACGGGAGGGTGAAGGCATTTCAGAGCGAAATAATCGCCACTCTGCGATTGATCGAGAAGTCCGTTTTTGCACTAATTCATCGAAAATGTTCCCAGTGCTCAGACGATATGACCTGCGAGGTCACCTCCACCTGCTTCAAAGGCAGTCCTCTTAGAAATAAAGTCTTCATTGTGTTTATATATATATATAAAAAAAAACAAAGACAAGACAAAAAAACACTTGTGGGTCCCAAAAATGGCACAGAGTGCAACAGAAGGCTGGAGAGTAACGGCAGATCTTCGCCAGGAGAGGTTGGTGGGAGCTACAGGCAGCTGTGCCGGTTCACAGTGTTGTGGGATGGGGGGGTGGGGGGTTGGGGGCTAACACCAGTCTGCGATGTAGTCGAAGTCAAAGAACAGCTCCTGCTCTTCCGCAGTCAGGAATCTGGGCTCCCGGGGGGGGGTGAGGATGGGAGCCTCTGAGGTGAATTCTTCGTCGAAGTTACTGACGTCCTCCCGGCTCTGGATGGTTGGGACGAACGGAGGTCTCACCCTCTTGGCAAGCAGCCCGTTCCAGTCGACGGTCTGGAGGAAGAACAGGAAGAGAGCAGGTGAGAGCGGCCGGCTGCCTCCCCAGCTAATGGCGAACAAGGAGCCCCGGACTTCGTTGGCGTACCCTGAAGAAAGGATGCCTTTTCACTTCCTCGGCGTCACGCTCCCCCGCTCCAAGACGCCTTTCCGGATTTCTCCTCAGAAGCTGCAGATGAGGTACATGAAAGAGGAAGAATGAATCACACGAGGGGAAGCAACCAATTACGCAGTAATTGTAAGTATCAGCACGTCTGACGATTCCCACGAAACAGGCTGAAGATAGAGATCGAGCGAAGTATCGCCTGATCTACGTCCAACTGCAGTCTGACACACACCCTTCGCATTATGGAGATCGCTTCTGTCGAGAGGAATCTCGGGTAGCGGACTTCATCGTTGACTATGCTGTCGAACACCTCTTCCTCATCATCGCCGGGGAAAGGGGACTGTGGTTACAGGGTAAGAGGATAAGCAATACAAACTGCCCCCAGTTTACGGTCAGGGAAATCACATGACCGGATTTACATATTAGCTTTAACTTGGGTCTGCCGGAGACCTCTCTCCCATCACACTCAGTTTTAAAGGCAGGGAGGAATTTCACAAAGCCAGAGCGGCCGAACCACACACCTCCCCGACCAGCATCTCGAAGATCAGCACTCCAAGTCCCCACCAGTCCACCGCCCGTGTGTAGGACGTCTCGGTCAGCACCTCAGGCGCCAGAAACTCTGGCGTTCCGCAGAACGTGCTGGTGCGGTCTCTGAATCCCATTCCTTGGGAAGAGCATGGTGTCAAATGGCCGGCGTTGAGAGCACCGTCCGTTAGCGAGCACCGGCATGTACGGTTAAGATGGAGTCCATACCTTCTTTACAAAGACCAAAGTCGGCGATCTTCACATATCCCTCGGTGTCCAAAAGTAGATTATCCAGCTTCAGATCTCTAGGAGGAGGAAACAGGAGTGATTAGTCCTGAGGAAGGCAATTGGGACAGTGTTTAGGCCTGATTGGAAGGTTGCTGGTTGAAATCCCGGGGTCAGCAGAGTGGTCTCACTGTAAGGCCCTTGAGCGAGGTCCTTAACCCTTAAACCCCCCCCCCCCCACTGCTGCTGGGACTGTCTGACCCTGCTTTCTCAATTACTAAATGAATTAAATTAAATTGGAAAAACAGAATACATGGTCACAGTACCTCTGGCTATTCTATAAGGGCTCAAGGAAGATCAGAAAAAAGTGTCATGAATGGTACGAGGGTCGGATGGGTGCAGTGTGGGTTAAGGGTGTTTTCTATTCGGGAAAGCGAGCTGATCTTACCTGTATACTATCTTGTGTTCATGTAAGAACTGCAGTCCCAGCACCACACAGGCTGCATAAAATCTGTAGGGAAGACAAACAAACAGCCATGGGTATCTGATACTGGTGCAGATATCTGGGATGTTTCTGACTCTGTCTGACGAAGCCAATCCAGGAGATCCGCCAAAGCCCTTCCCATCACGGCGGCGTCGCCACTCACACAGCCCGTGGCTCGGAGAAGACGTCGGCGTGGATATGCATCATGAGGTCACCGCCGGCCGCGTACTCCATCACGAAGCACACGTGGTCTTTGGTCTGGAAGCAGGCGAAGAGGTTGACCAGGAATGGGTGACGTACGCTGTTCACGGTCTCGAAGATCCTCTTCTCGCACATCAGACTGCGGTGGGGTGGATAGACACATCAACAACTGAAGGGACTTTGCAAGAAGGTAAAAATCAAGCGTCCCACTGACAGCCCGGGGGCCGTACCTGTCCACTTCATCTCGAGCCACGATGTCTCCTTTCTTTAAGGCCTTGATGGCAAACATCTCCCCTGTGCTCCTGTACTCAGCCAGTAAAACCTATCAAACCAAAGGGCAGTTTTTATAGAGCCCAATGACATGGCAGCCACCCACTTCCCTGACTTACCAAGCAGTCATGGAATGCAAAGATCGCTAAATATTTATTTGCGGTCTCTTATGAACAGAAGTTTACAAAATATGAAATTACCTTTCCGAAATGACCACGGCCTAAAACCGCAATGCATTTGAAGTCGCTCAGGTTGAACTGGAACTGGTCTTCATCCCTATGAGGGGGTGGGTTTGAGGAAGGGGGGGGCATCAGCAAGAGATGCACAATGCGCTGCTGTATATATCTGACACCAAGCACGAGATTCAGCCGTTCACTGGATGACGGGATTGTCCAAAAAAACCTGCAATTCACAGAAACGGCCTACGGGGGTCCTCCTCACCTAATTTCTGCTGTAAGCTCCAGATCAGACTTCTGGGTCTCCTGCCCTGCCACGCTGTCGTGTTCTGGTTCAACTACTATGCTATTCCTCTCATCCAGGAAGTTGAACGTTTCCAGAGCCTTCTGTTAGTGGGAATGAGGGTGTGGGGTTATCAGGAGAAAACGAAGTCAGATCTCACCACAGA